CTTTGCTTTTCGCCAGTGCCTTCAGTGAAGCTTGGACTTCTTCCTTCAGCACCATCGCTTCCCGATCATATGCTTCCTCTTGAAATGGTTGAATGTCAACCAATTCTTTTTGGTATAGTGACTCTGTGTATTCCTTCCATCTTCTTGTTAGATGGAACTCATTAGAAATGGATATTCTTGGGCCCCAGCCAAGACCTACTGAAGCAGAAACTCTGCAAGTGGGCCCAGCAACCTGTGTTTTAAAAAGCTCTCCAAGTGATTCTCATGTGCACTAACGTCTGAGAACCACTGCCATCTACCCATGAGGATTGGAGTTACAGGAGTTAATATTCTGGAAGAATGAAGAGAGGGAGACGTGGACAGTTAGAACAGTGTTCCGATGAGAAATTACGATCTGCTTTATGACGGTCTCCTAGAGTGCACGAGGAAAATCAAGTCCTGGCCAGGACCATTTTCACCGTTGTGTTGGTGCCTCTCGACTGTGCTCCTCTGTCAAGTGGAAATGGAGCTCTGGTGGCACAATGGTTAAGCGATTGGTTGCTAACTGAAAGGTTGGTGGTTTGAACCCACCCAGTGGCTCTGTGGGAGAAAGACCTGGTGATCTGCTCCCATAAAGATTACAGCCTAGGAAGCGCTGTGGGGCAGTTTTACCGTGTCACATGGGGTTGCAGTGAGTTGGAATAGACTCAATGGCACCTAACAAAACAGCACTGAGTAGAAGCAGCACCAGGACACTGTTGTTAGCTGCCATTGTTTGGGCCCCCCGAATCATGGTGACCCCACGTACAACAGAAGGAAACACTCGATTGGCTATGGGTTGGACCATTGTAATCTGGAGGGTTTTCATTGGCTGATTTCAGAAGTAGATCCTGAGGCCTTTCTTCCTAGACCATCTTAGCCTGGAAGCTCTACTGAAACCTGTTCCGCATCATAGCAACACGCAAGCCTCCACTGACAGACGGGTGGTGGCTGCGCATGAGGTGCATTGGCCGGAATCAGACTTAGGTCTCCTGCGTGGAAGGCGAGAATTCTCCCACTCAACCATCAACGCCTCAGAATCACCCGTCCAAAAAAAGAAAAAAACCATTGCCGTCGAGTCGATTCTGATTCATAGCAACCCTATAAGACAGAACAGAACTACCTCATAGGGTTTCCAAGGAGCGGCTGGTGGATTCGAACTGCTGACCTTTTGGTTAGCAGCCGAGCTCTTAACCACTGTGCCACCAAGAGCCTACAAAAAGCACAAAGCCAAGGCCACTCCTCAGACCCATTAAATCAGAACCTCTTGGCGTGAGATCTAGGCATTGGCATTTTAAAAAGTTCTCTGCGATTTCACTCTGCAGGCAAGCCTGAGAACCAGTGATCCAGGGAGGGTCTATGCTCTCAGTACTTACCCGCTTACGGAGCTGAACTCCCCCTGAAAATCAAAGTTCCAGTTTCCCAGGATTTGCAACTCAAGTTTTTTAATTTTAGGAGTGTGTTTGTTTTGAGATTCAAAGGGAGCTGCTAAATTTATGCTGTTATGTTATCTACTGACTACTCAATTTATCTTTTCTATTTATGCAATTGTTACCAAACTTCAGATGCGGAATATTTAGTCAAAAGAACAATTTCTGTTTTTTCTTATGTAACAAGATAGGCTTGTAGATCTACTTTTAAAAATGTGAGTATGATTTTTGTTTCAAAATTAAAAAAGTTATTTTTTCTATAATAAATGCTCATTACACAAATTACAGAACTCCCCTCCCCCAACCAACATAGTTTTAAAGCCCCTTACCTATATTCGGGAGATTGGTGGTACACTGGTTAAGAGCGCAGCTGCTCACCAAAAGGTCAGCAGTTTGAATCCACCAGCTGCTCCTTGGAAACCCTACGGGGCAGTCCTGCTCTGCTCTGTAGGGTCGCTAGGAGTCAGAATCGACTCGACGGCAAGGGGTGTTTTGTTTTTGTGTGTTTGCCTGTATCCTAGAGGGGACTGGTGGTTCAGCGGTGGGATTCGCGTGTTCCATGAGGAAGACCTGCGTTCTGTTCCCAGCCAATGTACCCCGTGTGCAGCCACCACCCAGCTGTCAGTGGAGGCTTGCGCGTTACTGTGCTGCTGAACAGATTTCAGCAGAACTTCCAGACCAAGACAGACTAAGAAGAAAGGCCTGGCGATCTCCTCTGAAAGTCAGCAGTAAAGGTCAGGATGGTGGGACAGGTCAGATCCCATTGCGCATGAGGTTGGCAGTTGACGACAACCTGCAGTCGGCCCAGATCCAAGACAACCGATGATGTGGAGTTTTTCTGGCTGTTTGGCAAAGATGACGTGAAGTTGGGTTTTTTGAGAAAATATTTTGCATCTCCTTGTTGCCATCGTAGGGTATATACAGTCTTCTTCATGTAATATCAGGACATAAGGATTTTATATCAGTGAAATGACAACACAAGACCATCATTTACTTCACTCACTGAGCAATCAGCATAATCAAAACACTGTTACTATGAACCCTTGGTAAAGGGAACGGAGTTACATGCACGATGCAGTGTCCATGGTTTGGGAGGGGTTTAGAGAGCGGGAAATTTACAGTGACCTGGGAGATAACAGAAGCATACCTACCAGCCACAAGTGTGCTCTTAACATTAACTATTATCATTTTTATTACCTAATATATTAAAAGTTACTCTGGGTTTTACATGGGAATGTTAGGTTAACAGTTAGGTTATTCAGTAAAATTATTGCAGGGAGCCCTGGTAGCGCCAACAGTTAAGCGCTTGGCTGCTAACTGAAAGGCTGGCAGTTGGAACCTACCCAGCAGCTCCATGGGAGAAAGACCCGGTGAGCTACTCCCGTAAAGATTACAGCCAAGAAAACCCTATGGAGCAGCTCTACTCTGTCACATGGGGTCGCTATGAGTTAGAATCAACTGGACGGCACCCAACAACAGCAACGAAACTACTGCACGTAGCTGGGCTGGATGAACCAGTCAGCACGCTACGCACCAGCCTGCACTGAGCAAGGCACGCGTGGGCATAATCGTATCTACTTGCTAAACTGCGATGAGCAACTTCACACGGGTTTTACCACATCTTCGATGTGGTGGGGGACAGGCAAAATGGTGCACTACAGATTGGAGGAAAGGCACAATTGAGCCTGGGCATCACTTGCTTATTGGGTGAGCCAGCCCTGCAGATTTAGCATCAAGTCCTCTAACATCTCTAAATTTCTTAAACCTACGACAAGGCACTCTGTGTTCATACCCGAGTACGTACAGACTCTGAAGAGTCTCTCCAGTGTTTGTGCTTTGGCAATGATGACCAGCAGCACAACATCACCAAGGAGGAGCTTGTGGGAAAAGCAGAGTCTTGGACTAGGCCCCATACCTACTGAAGCAGAAACGGCATTCAATTCCCCAGGTAATATATGAAAATCTAAACCAAACCTATAGCCGTGATCTATATACACATTAAATGTGGAAAGCACTGATTTAGCCAATCTATGTTGCTGTGATGCTGGAAGCGATGCCACTGGTATTTCAAATACCAGCAGGATCACCCATGGTGGACAGTTTTCAGCGGAGCTTCCAGACTAAGGGAGACTAAGGAGGAAGGCCTGGTGATCTATTTCTGAAAATTAGCCATTTAAAACCTTATGGATCACAACAGAACATTGTCTGATTCCCTTGCTTTGGACACGTCATTGGGAAGGATCAACTGCTGGAGGAGGAGATCATGTTTGGTGAAGCAGAGGGCCAGCGGGGGCAAGGGAGACTCTCAGTGAGATGAACTGACACTATAGCCACAGTGACGGACTCGGATGTGCCAGTGTTCGTGAGGACACAGGATTGGGCAGCACTTCATTCGTTGTACATAGGCCGCCATGAATCGGAGTCGACCAGAGATATCCCTCCCTCCCTCCTTCCCTCCGTCCCTCCATCTATCCACCCATCCCTCCCTCCATCCATCCCTCCATCCCTCCATCCTTCCATCCCTCCCTCCATCCTTCCCTCTGTCCCTCCATCCATCCCTCTATCCCTCCATCCCTCCATCTACTCATCCCTCCATCCCTCCCTCCCTCTTTTCCTCCCTCCCTCCCTCCCTCTCTCCCTCCCTCCCTCCCCCCTCCATCCCTCCC